GGGGTACTTTGACTCTTTTCATGCAACCATTTTACCACCAATCTATGCCAAATTTAAAAAAAGAAAAATAATTGGTGATTTTTTTGACACACATTGGAATTTAAGATTACATGTACAGAGAACTTTAAGGGTTACTGCCAAAGAACACCCTAATATGTGTTCAACAACATCTCTTGAGTACAGTGATACTACCCCATCCCCCATGTATAGGTGTGTCGGGTTATCTGGGGGCTATAAGACCTTATTTGGTGGGTGCGCATTCCAGTTTTCCAACTTGGAATTTTCACAACTGGTCATCATGCCTCCATGTCCCCATGTAATTTACCCTCATCAATCCATATATTTTTGAAATGTAGACACCCTAGGGTATTTCAAATGGTGGTATTGTAATACTTTCCATGCACTAATTCTACCACCAGTCTTTGTCAACCTTTTGAGTAGTAATTTTTTGTGTTATTTTTTCACACATGAATTCTCAGCTCCTGTTATGCGTTACTGACAAAGAACAATATGTGCCAATATGTGTTCAGCAACATCTCCTGAGTACAGTGATACCACCCGTGTACAGGTGTGTCAGGTTCTCTGAGGGATAAAATAACTTATTTTGAGGGTGCGCATTCCAGTTTTCCAACTTGGAATTTTCACAGCTGGTCAGCATGCACCCATGTCCTATTTGGAACATTTTTGAAGACAGCCAATGTAATTTACCCCCATCAAACCATATATTTTAAAAACATAGACACCTTAGGGTATTTCAAATGGTGGTATTTTAACATTTTCCATACACTAATTCTACCACCGGTCTTTGTCAAACTTTTGGGTAGTCATTTTTTTATGTTATTTTTCTCTAACGTTGTACTTTAGGCATGGATTCTCAGTTCCTGTTATGTGTTACAGACAAAGACCACCACAATATGTGTTCAGCAACATCTCCCGAGTACAGTAACAGTTTCCCCAATGTACAGGTGTTATGGGTTTTTGCAAACTTACAGTGGTCAAATGTATGGCTTTCTCCTTTTCCATGTTTGCACATTGAAATTTGCCAGATTGGTTTGCCGCGCCTATGTTGCCTTTGAGACCATATAGCAGCCCAGGAATGAAAATTAACCCTATCACGACACACCATTTGTAAAAGTAGACAACCCATGGTATTCAAAATGGGGTATGTCCAGTCTTTTGTAGTAGCCACTTAGCTACAAATGCTTGCCATTTTAACATAAAAACTGCACTTTTATTGGTGATTTTATCGTCGTGATAAGTCTTACTGTTTTAAATACTCATATTTGTGTTCACCTAAGTCTCCC